GCTGGGGGGAGTATCTCGAGGGGTGGTGGGGGGTTCTGTGGGTCTGCGCTGAGGGGCTGTGGGCCTGGTCTAAGGTGTGAGCCTACCTGAGGGTTGCAGGCTTGGCTAAGGGGGTCTGTGGGCTTTCCCTGAGGGACTGTGGGCCTGCTTGGGGGGGTCTGCAGGCCTGTGCTGAGGGGTTCTGTGGCCTCTAGACCTGTCCTGAGGGGCTGTGGGTCTGACTTGGGGGGTTCTGTAGACCTGTGCTGAGGGGCTGTGGGTCTGTCTGGGGCTGCAGGCCTGTCTCGGGGGCATCTGTGACCTCTAGGCCCGTCCTGAGGGGCTGTGGGTCTGCCTTGGGGGGTTCTGTAGACCTGTTCTGAGGGGCTGTGGGTCTATCTGGGTCTGCAGCCCTGTCTCGGAGGCATCTGTGGCCTCTAGGCCTGTCCTGAGGGGCTGTGGACCTGCCCTGGGGGGTCTGTAGGCCTGTCCTGAGTGGGTGTGGGTCCATCTGGGGCTCAGGGCCTGCCTCAGGGGGTTTTGTGGCCTGTAGGCTTGCCCTGGGGATCTGTAGGCCTGTCCTGAGGGGCTGTGGGTCTGTCTGGGGCCGTAAACCTGCCTTGGGAGGTTCTGTGGGCCTGTCTCGGGGGGTTCAGTGCATCTGTCCTGAGGGGCTGTGGTTCTGCAGGCCTGTTCTGAAGGTCTGGGGGGGGCCGTGGACCTGCCTGGGGGGGCCGTGGACCTGCCTGGGGATCTACAGACCTGCTTGGGGGGGCTGCAGTTATGTCCTGCTTGGGGTCCCTGGAAATGAGGGCCTGGTTTGGGGGTTTGTGCAGCTCCAGGGAGGGCTTTGGACACCCCCTCAGGTTCAGAGAGCCAGGAGGGCGGGGGGGTGTGTGCGCCGTAGCAGCGGGGACAAGCTGTCCTTAACCCAGCTGGTCCTCATCATCTCTTGGCAGGTCATCGTCCCCGCTGGCAGAGTCCACTGGCTGCTCCTCGTTGTTGTTTTTGCCGCTGCCATCGTCCTCCGAGCCGGTCTCATCGGAGTCATCCTCCTCCAAGTAGCGGTAGCCCCGCATCCTGTGGCGCGGGCGGGGGATGCGGGGCAGGCGGTACGCCACGTGCTGCGCCAGCTTGCGCTCCATCCAGAGGTAGGCCCCCATGGCCACCACCAGCGTCAGCAGCATGATGGAGAGCTTGGCCTGCAGGAGGGCAAAGCAGGGGGATTGGCATGGGGCTGCCACCCCAGGACACTCCGGGGACGGCCCCGGTTGCTCTTTACCTTCATGGGCAGCCCTGACCACAGGTAGACGGTGAAGATGGCCAGGGCCTGCCACCAGTGGTAGATGGTGAAGACGAAGTCTTGGCGCTCCTTGTCCTCGTACAACATGCCCAGGAGGACTGTGCCGGAGGAGACCGGCTGTCAGCATCCCCCTCCCTTGTCACCATCCCCCCTCGTCCCCACCACGGTGGGTCTGTCCTGCTCCTTGTCAGCACCTCCAAGGAGCTGGGGACCACCAGGTTGAGGCACCAGGGGGACACGAGGAAAGGATGCATCGAGGCGGTGAGGATGAGGGGTGCCAGGAGATGAGAGAAGCTGTCGTGGGGACCTTCCTGCTACTCACTGCTAATGCTGGTTTTGTTGAGGGCGCTCCCCACGCCCCAGAGCACGGCTATGGTGTAGAGCAGAGGGGCCTGCCGCAGGTACCGGGGCTCGGGTGCCCAGCAGAAGAGAGTCACCAGGAGAGCAGCGTGGACAACAGCTCCGGCCAGCAGCGGGACCTGCCGGCGCAGGCGCAGCACGCAGAGGGCCAGGCTGGAACAGGCCGAGGCGGAGAAGCCGTAGGCCATGAGGAGATACGCCAGCTTCTCCAGCCCCAGGGCACACACACCGTAGTTCTGCAGCGAGGAAAGGGCTCAGGATCAGTACAGGCTGGGGGGTGAGGTACTGTTTAACATTTTTATCAATGATATAGACAGGGGGATTAAAGGCACCATCAGCAAGTTTGCGGATGACACCAAGCTGTGTGGTGTTGTCACACCAGAGGGATGGGATGTCATCCAAAAGGACCTGGACAGGCTGGAGAGGTGGGCCCAGGTGAACCTCATGAGGTTCAACAAGAGCAAATGCAAGGTTCTGCACCTGGGCCGGAACAATCCTCACCATCAGTACAGGCTGGGGGGTGAGGGGTTAGAAAGCAGCCCTGAGGAAAGGGACTTGGGGGTGCTGGTGGAGGAGAAGCTGGACATGAGCAGGCAGTGGGCACTTGCAGCCCAGAAGGCCAATCCCATCCTGGGCTGCATCAAAAGCTGCGTTGCCAGCAGGTCCAGAGAGGGGATTCTGCCACTTTGCTCTGCTCTGGTGAGACCTCACCTGGAGTATTGTGTGCAGGTCTGGAGCCCTCAATATAAGAAGGACATGGACCTGATGGAGAGGGTCCAGAGGAGGGCCACGAGGATGATCAGGGGGATGGAGCACCTCTGCTCCGAGGACAGGCTGAGGGAGCTGGGGTTGTTCAGCCTGGAGAAGAGGAGGCTCCGGGGAGACCTAATAGCAGCCTTCCAGTACCTGAAGGGAGCCTACAGGAAGGCTGGGGAGAACCTGTTTAGAAAGGCCTGCAGTGACAGGACGAGGGGCAATGGCTTCAAGCTGGAGGGGAACAGCTTTAGACTGGAGATGAGGAGAGGGTTCTTCACTGTGAGGGTGGTGGAGCACTGGAACAGGTTGCCCAGGGAGGTGGTTGAGGCCCCATCCCTGGAGATATTCAAGGAGAGGCTCGACGAGGCCCTGGGCAACCTGGTCTAGTTGGGGGTGTCCCTGCTGACTGCGGGGGGGTGGGACTAGATGGCCTTTGGAGGTCCCTTCCAGCCTGGACCATTCTATGATTCTAGGATCACCTGGCTGGGGCTGTCCCCTGCTCTGTCACCCCCCTGCCCCATCCCCATCCCCAGGCCCTACCAGGGAGAAGCCGGTGCAGACGAAGAGCACCTCGAAGCCGCTGTAGATGAACAAGGGGAAAAGGTGGCGCAGGCGATAGTCCCTCATGTGCTTGAAGGGCAGCTGGAAGATGTTCCCCCAGCCGATGCTGCGCAGGTCGATCTCCTCCGTGGGCCGATAAGCCGAGCCGCAGAGCACCAGGACCTGCCACGTGGCGTGTGGGTGAGCCACCACCCATTGTCCCCACCATGTCCCCTGCCCACCCACCCCAGCACCCACCATCAGCATGGCGAGGAAGGCAGCTGCCATCAGGGCGCTCTCCACGATGATGAGGTTGACGCTGCGGGGCAGGCTCTGCAGCACCGTGGTGTTGAAGCCGGGCAACGTGCCATGACTCAGGGTCCCTGCCGGGTTGGATGGCTGAGAACCCTTTCAGTGAAAAAATTTTTCCTAATACACACGCCGTGGCTCAGCCCCAGCCGGGGAGGACCCCCTGCCACCACCCCACGGTGCCATCCCTCACCGCAGTGCTTCACCCCGGCGAGTGTGTGGTTGAGCTGGTAGAGGTAGTTGTTGAGGAAGAAGAGCGTGGGCATCTGGGCGCAGACGAAGCTCAACTGCAAGAGGTAGAGCAAGGGGACGCTGAGGGCTGTCTGATCCCTTTCAGTGAAAAAATTTTTCCTAATACACACGCCGTGGCTCAGCCCCAGCCGGGGAGGACCCCCTGCCACCACCCCACGGTGCCATCCCTCACCGCAGTGCTTCACCCCGGCGAGTGTGTGGTTGAGCTGGTAGAGGTAGTTGTTGAGGAAGAAGAGCGTGGGCATCTGGGCGCAGACGAAGCTCAACTGCAAGAGGTAGAGCAAGGGGACACTGAGGGCTGTCCAGCGTGTCCCCCTGCCCCTGCCACGCGTCCCCACTGGCGCTCACGTGGAAGCAGGTGTAGAAGATGGTCTGGAAGATGACGATGTAGGTGTTGCAGGCCCCCCGCGGCGCCCGCTGCTGCTCCTGCACGTGCTCCTCCTTGAAGTTGACGTACTCGTAGTACTTCTGGGCCATCCTGCGTGGCACCATGGGTCAGCTGGCACCAACCTCCCCCACCCCTGACCAGGAACCCCACCACCACCCCCAGCTCCTCGCCGCTGCCTACCGCGTGATGTAGTTGCCCATGGAAGCCCAGAGGGGCACGATGGCCACCCCGATGGCCACGGCGGAGGGCACCAGCGTGTAGTAGCGCTCCCAGTAGTTGCTGGAGACGAAGAGGGCGTAGATCCCCACCGCCAGGAACATGGCCCACTTGGTGCCGAAAAACCTGCCCGGGGAATCACAGAATCACAGAATCTTCTAGGTTGGAAGGGACCTTAAAGATCATCTTGTCCAACCGTCAACCTGACTGACAAAAATAGACACCCACACAACAAACAAGGAGCATCATCACTAAACCAGACCTCCCAGGAAGGGGAGGAAGAGGAGGGGAAAGCGTGGGGCAGCCCGCCATGGCCGAGGGGAAGCTGGAGCAGGCACCCTACCTGATGAGGACGGGGGTGTAGAGGAGCGCCGCCACCGGGGTGACGTTGATGCCCATCAAGACCTTGCGGTCGATGTCCTCCAGCTGGATGTTGCTGTATTTCACCTCCCGGTACGTCTCGTCGTAGTGGAGGATGAGCTGCATCTGCAGCAGGCCTGGGGCGGGGAGGGGTGGTCCAGGGTGGGTCACCCCCCTGCCCCATCCCATCCTGAGCTCCCCCCAGACCCCAATGGGGGGGTTTTAAGGAGGGGGCCATACCCAGGTAGACACCATAGGTGAGCATGCCGGCCAGGCTGGCGGCCACCACGTTCTTGACCACTCCGAGGCGCTTGCGGCGGAAATACTTCTGCTCCTCCTCTTCCTCATTGTAGTCGGGGTGGGCGCCCACAAAGTCGTCCAGCTGCGGGTGACACCAGCTGTCACAGCCCTGGCCTGGCCCCCCCAACTCTCCGTGGGTGTTCCCCCTGCCCCCAGCCTCACCTGTGTCTCTGTCCCCTCGGTGGCACCATCACATGCCACCATCTTGGGGACATCCTGGTGGCAGTTGGGGTCTTTTTCCATCACTGCCTCTGTGGGGAGGGGGGAGCTGGATGGTGGTGGGGTGGGGAGGAGCCTGTTGGGACCCCTGAGCCCTGCACCCCCGTGTCCTGTACCCCCAGACCCTGCACCCATGTGCTTTGCACCCCTGCACCCAGCACCCCCAGCCCTTGGACCCCTACACCCAGCACCCCCACACCTTGCACCCATGTGCTCTGCACCCCCACTCCAGCACCCCCACTCCAGCACCCCCAAACTGTGCCCCCCTGCATCCTGCACCCCTAAACCCTGCACTCATGTCCCACACC